TTCTCACCCTGATTAACTATATATGCTGATAACTGTGAACAAAGCAACTGCACTGAAGATAGCAATGTGTAATAGAAGGGTCACGCTTGGAATGCCTGTCATTCTGGTCTTCTAAATACATCGTGTCATGCCATACCAATTATTAACATACTGTCTCTCAAGTAAAAGTTTTTTTTTTCCTTTAAATAAAGGGTAATAAATGAAAAAAAAGACACAAGAAAAAGAAAAAAAAAAAAGTCACAGGACTGTCCTGCTAAAATGCTGTATAATCTAAATTTCTGTGTAAAAATATGTGTTTATTCCTACTTTTTATTATTTTTTTCTTCATATTCTATAAGGACTTAAAGTTCAACACATCAATACTTGATGGAAAATACCTGTTCCATGTTATGCCTAATATGTTTGATATTTAGACAGATAGTTAGGGTAAACCGAACTGCATATGTTGCAGGGTAATAATAAGCTTCTCCTGTGGAGGGTTAACGACCTAAGTTTGCAGATCAAAAATTGGAGAAAAGGAAAGGCTGCAAGGTCAGCCAACATTTTGGCCCTAGACTTTCAAGGTCAGGGAAGACTCGGGACATAAGAGAACCTGTACTGTAAGACCATGTAACTCAGGTGTGCCCCAAATTTTCTGATCAAGGAGAAGATGGGGCCACAGAGGAAAGTGATCAGTGATGTAGAGTGTGCCTAAGGAGAGTCACATAGAGAGAAAATATTCTCTCAAGCTTTCACAGAGAGCACATTGGTCAAGCAATGGCCGTGACTCTTCCTCATGGCTGACACCAACAAAGGATCCACAAAGTGCAGCACAGGGTTACAGGATAAATCCTTAGGGGACTTGACTGACCTTATCAGATACAAAAGTTATATTTCTTGTTATATAGGTCTTCCTTTATCTTGGTCTTAAACCATCCAGCAGAAAACTATAAAAACAAGGTATATAAAATAAAGCCATATTAATATGCTGAGTTATGAAAGGCTCAGGTCAACAATTTCTGCGGATAACCTACTACTACCGTGGACTGTTGGACTGTGTTGGATTGTTTGGCTGAATTCAAGCACCTATAGTATTTAGATGCCAATAGAATACCCATCTCTGACAGGACTAAAGAAAAAAAAGGGGATACAAAGAAAGGACCATTTTGTATTTGCATATACAGAATAGTTAGGATAGATACACAGCTACTTTTGCTTAATTCAATGAGAAGAAAGGTTTGTACTAATAGTAGTTGGACAGGATATCCTGTCTGCTTCTTGTACTATGGATAACCACTAAGAAGATAACAATGTACAACGTATTAATTATTGAAGCTGTCCTATTAATCAGTTTTGAAACTGTCTCATTGATAGTTGTTTCTCAATAAAATAAAATTAAATTGAATTAAAAATAGGGGCTGGTGAGATGGCTCAGTGGTCTAAAGCACCTACTTAGAACAAGCTTAGCAAAGCACAGGGACGGCGGTTCAATCCCCCAGCACCACATGCCAGCCAGCCCCGCCCCCTGGTGGGCTGAGCTGGCCACACACACACACACACACACACACACACACAAATAAAAATAAATTAAAAAAAATTTTTTTAAAAATAAAAATAAATAAATAAACATATCCAGCACTTTAAAACTGAAAGCCAAAAACCGTATTACCATCACCTGCCATGGTCGCCTCTGAAAGGCACGTGAAGCTCAAAGCATGCGGGCCTAGGGCAATGGGCTGTCAGCTCTCGTTTCCTTAGGCGTGTTCTTCCACGTCACCATCCCTAGCCTTCCCACGAAGCTCCAGCTTCTGTGGTAGGTAAGTGACACAGGGCTGCCTCTGGGGACAACGTCAGAGGACCAGATCCATGTTCCATTGCCACAGTGACGTATCAGAGACTACAGAGACTCCACAGTCACTCACACAGACCTCATACTCTGGGGATTGAACATCAGCGGGCATTTGATTTCATTAAGCCAACGTTGTGCTTCCTAAGCACTCAATTAATACCCAATCAAAACATGAATGAGAAACAGAGCCCCTTACCTAGGTTCCCTTTGCCATTTTCAAAATGACTAAACATCATTAAATAAACACACAAAATAGTCTCCCTAGTGTAAGACTCTGAAAAAGTTAATAAAAATCCAAAATGCACAAAAGATACTGTGAAAGCAAAAGAAACTGTTCAAAAGAAAGAAACAACTGGGATGAGGGAAAGGAGAGAAGAAAAAAGGGAAAAAATAATTATGTATGTATGCAGGGTAGCTTGGATAATTGTACTGTTGATTTCTGCTGGTCAGTTGAAAGGAACAGTTAATGGTTAAATTACAGATAGATAGATAGATAGATAGATAGATAGATAGATAGATAGATAGATAGATAGATAGACAGACAGACAGACAGACAGACAGACAGACAGACAGACAGACAGATATTGGACCAATTTCGTATTGGTCTGGTAATCTGAACGACGCACTTGAAGACAAACAACAGCATGCATTACACTGACCATTGCTGAATTCCTATTATTCTACCTAAGCACAGGATACTGAGTTCGATCCCTGGACCTGCCTACTGTGCGGGCATCACATTCTGTATCACTTATATACTATTTCTTATTCTCTTAAAAGAAAAAGTGCTGTACAGCCACTTTGGCAAAGTGCGACAGCTCCTCAAATGTTACACATGGAAGTACTAGACAGGGCAGCGGCAGCAAGTGCACAGCTAAGCATATGCCATGAAGTAGTGGAAAATACATGCACACAAAAATATGGGCACAAGTGTGTGCGCCAGCATTGGCTCTAACAGCCCAAAGAGAAACACAAGCCAGGTATCCATGAGCTGAGGAAAGGCTGAACAAAATGACCTCCACCCCTCCACGTGACAAGATGCTTTTCTGCCATAAGAAAAATGACACACCATGAACCCCTTGCTCAGGGTATTTTTGCCCTAAATCACAGAATTAGTCGTAAAAGTCAATCTGTTGTAAATTTTACTTTTATTCACAAAATTTTACTGAAGCATGTTTTCCAAATATCTAAGTCAACGGCCAGCCAAATAGCTCAGCGGATTAAAGTGCCTGCAAGCAGGCGCACGGGTCGGGGGTTTGATCCCCAGGCCTGCTGTGCCAGCCCCGCCCCAGGGGCACGCTGAGATGGCAATGGAGACTGGGCGCGGTGGTGCACATCTGTAATCCCAGCTCTTGGGAGGCAGTAAACAAGTGGATCACTATGAGCCCAATCTAGTAGTGAGACCCTTCCCCTACAAAAAAAAAAAAAAACTAAGTGAAATCCTATCAAAATGCTTACGTATGTTTTAGCTTGTCAATGCAGCATATCTATCATAATACCTCAGCTCACAAACATTTGTGTTCGAGAACCATTCAGTTCATGAAAGAAAGTGTTTGGCAAAATTACACTTCTACTTCCAAGCTCTGCACTGGGTGTCAAAACATGACCGTGACCATCTTCCCTGCATGGACACAGTCATCTCTCTCAGAATCATGGAAAATATTAAGTTCATGAACCAAAAATTCCTCAAATAGGAAGGGTCTAATTTTAGTTAAATTTGAGTCTCTCACTTTAGCTCTGGTCAGTTCTCTTAAAACAGTAAGAAAAAAAAAAAAAAAAAAAAATGCTTATGTGGATCTTTTTCGAGGAGGTAGTTACTTTAAAAAAAAAAAAAGCATTAAAGAATGAAACAAAAATAGATAAATCAAAAGGTAACAACACTACCACTCTCTCTTCTCTGAGTTCATGCATGCCAAGCAGGCACTCCACCATGAGCTACACCTCCAGCCCCAAGGTATCAACTTTTCGAGAACTTCTGGGACTACTATCAGTTTTACTCAGATGTCAACTTCAACCCACGCACACACAACTGTTTGCTTTGTATTTTGGAAGGGCTGATATCTCAGTAAGATTTATCCATAGTAACCCCTATGATCCACTAACAAGTTTCAAGGTTAATCAGCAAGTCAACTGGCAGATAGACACAAATCCTATTAAGAAACTAATACAGCATAGAATTAATATATGAGTCAAACAAAATCTATACTCATGTGCCCAATTATAATGAGTGTTTCAGCTTTAATTATAATTCATAATGTTGACAGGAGAGATTGATTTTCAAAGGTGTCATCCCCTCATAGATAAGGCGCAGAAAAGTTTACTAAGCCTCATCTAGTGTCCAAGATTCTCAAGAGTATGTGCACAAGGCACACCCTTCATAACTGGCCACACAGTTCATCCCATAATGATTTAAAGACACTATGATGTTCTACCCACTGTGTTCAATGTCTGCCAAGGGAAAGACCGAGAAACTTCCTTTTGTTTAAAGAGAATAAAAAATAGCTCAAAAGTGCCAGCGAGATAGCTCAGTAGTCTAAAGCGCCTGCTTAGGCAAGCTGAAGAAGGCGCAGGGGACCATGTTCAGTCCCCAGTACCACATGCCGTGCCAACCTGCACTCAGTGTGGGTTGAGCTGGCCAAAAAAATTTTTTTAAAAAAAAATCAGAAACAACACAGAATTTTACTAAACAAAATGATAATAATTCAACAAGGGCTGTTATACTGCACATTGCTTTGTTCAGATTACCTAATATAAGCATGCAAAATTGAAAAAAAAATGGTCATAGAAAAATTTGCGAGGACTAGCAGATAGCTCAGCAGATTAAAACATCTACTTAGGCAGACACACGGACCAAGGTTCGATCCCCAGCATTCAATGCCAGCCTTGTCCCCAGGGTACACTGAGCTGGCAAATGAGACTGGGCACGGTGGTGCATACCTGTAATCCCAGCGCTTGGGAGGCTGAAAATAGGAGGGATCACTATGAGTCCAATCTGTGTAGTGAGACCCTATACGAAGTACATTTAAAAAAAAAAAAAAAAAAAAAAAATTGCAACTTCCTTTTTTAAAAAAAAACCATTGTAAAATGGGTGTTTATTTCTGCAAAATCCAGTTCTACTGCCCAATGTATTTCAGGCAGGGGGGCTGGGGTCCAACGGCACGAGGCTGCTTACCGTTATGGTGACTTCATGTGTAGATCTTCGAACCAGTGAGTGGTCAGCATCTGTCACAGACCCCACGAGGCGCCTGCCTGCAGGGAACAACCTGTAAAGAGATTGCAAAGAAGACTGAAAAATCTTGACATGCACCGACCAACTTTGCACAAGGAATGTGAATACTATGTACTACACACATGGGCAAATAAATTTTAAAAATACAAAAAACAAAAAAACCACCTGGGGGTGGTGTTCACCTCTACCACCCCACCCATTGCATCAGGATTCTCTTTCACCTCAACTCAAATAAACAAATTTTATTGCTCTGTGGCTTCTATCTTTCTCCTTACACGTAGCTGCTAGGGTTGTATATGCAACAGTGATAATGTAGAGAAGTTAAAACATCAGCATCCCTATGCGCCTGGAAAAGCCAGCGGGCATCACTAGGCATGTAGAAACTCTGCAAGGACAGCCCCAAGCTAGCCTCGGGAGTTTCAGCCAGTCCCGTACTGCAAGTGCTATTACTTGATGGCAAACTGGTGCCCATTTGGAACATCTTGACCGCTTCATGCAGGTGATAAACCCTGCACAACGGGTGTGAGGACAACACGCTTTGGTGAAGCTGGGCATCAACCGAGCTGACGATTTGGGGTGACCCTGTCACACCTGTCGCTATCCCTCTTCCTGGACTGTACTGCACCCAAGAAATGCTGGAATCTTCTCCAGGTCGGCTCCCTGATGTTCTCACACACCGCCCCGCTACTAGGGCTCTGTCCGCACTGAGTATTGAAGAAGCCAGCTTCCTGTTTCATAAAAAGGGCATCTTCTTTTTTTTTTTTAAAGAAAGTAAAAAAAACAGTGAAATAAATCATTACAAACGACACAGAATTTAACTGAACAAAATGACAGGAATTCATCATCCTTCACATCATATTCTATTTCCGCTTTTCCATCACTCTAAATATAATCCAGCCAACCAGCATTTGCCTCACGAGATGGGCTCATTTATTTATTTGGTATAGGGTCTGGCTGTGTAGCTTAGACTCACAGTGATCCTCATGTTTCAGCCTCCAGTGCTGGGATGCACCACCATGCCCTGTTTCTGGCCAGCCCAGCATACTCTGGGTCTGGTACGGCAAGCGGTACCTGGGATCAAACCCGGGTCCCTGTGCTTGTCAGGCAGGCACTTAGACCACTGAGCCATCTCCCCAGCCCTGTCTGTACTTGAGGTTTTGAATGAATCCAGCCCCCTACAGTCTGAATTATCAAAAATCATCTAAGAACTCAAGTACCAAGTACTCAAGTACCAAGGAGATCGAATGCTCCTCATTTTCTTTAAAGCCTTATTCGATGGAAAATGGTGATCTCATCAAACGTTTGCAGGAAGTTTGAACAAATTACTCCTGCAGTCATGTTTGTACTTATGCCACTTACAGGAAGAAAATTAAAGAGCTCCTACAGGTAGGTTCACAGACCTCTAAGCTTCATGACACTGCATGAAGCAAAGGAAAAGGAACCGCAAGGACATGCAAGGTAAGGAAGAAGCAGGGCAAGACAAAATAATGAGATCTATACAGAACGCATGTACAACTCTTCGAACAGAAACGAAGACACAGAATGAAGCAGGCATAATGGGGTACTGATTTTGCATATAAAATGAACAAAAAAAAAGTTATGGAAAAAATCTGCAGTGAAGGTGCAACAGGACAATATGCTACTTTAGGGGAAAAGGAAGTAGAAAGCAAATCGCTGCTTCCGGGATTCAGCTGGGTGTCAGTTACCAGGGGGAAGAAGCAGCCTTATGACGCAATGGTTAAATGCGTAAAGTATCAAAATAGGAGCAGATGCCACCAAAATAAGCTCCAAATTGCTTGTAAATTAAAACATTAAAACCCATAATAATTCAATAAGTAATTAATATACAAACAGCTCTTATGACAAGCTGTTCGGGAAAAGGTCTCAAATCAAATTTCTATTTTCTTTGGTCCAAACCAGATGGCAACTCACAAATTAGTCTCGAAATTGAAGATTATCTTTTATATATGTTGTAAAACTCTGTACAAGTAATTACCTTATCATCTGTGTGTGATCAACACACACACCAAAAAAAGGGAATTATGACTCTGGTTAATAGCATCCTTCTGGTTATACAACATGTCAAAACTAATTAATTCACTGTTAGAAACAGTAAGTTAAACTGAGATCAAACTTCCTAATGTCTGATCACGAACGATTTTTGTACCGTTAATAGCCAAAGTAGAACCACGATCAGTAAGTAGTGCCGGCTAGGAAGTCGAGAGAAACGCAAACGATCTGTGTGAGACAGAAATTATTTTAACAAACCAATGTATTCTTTACTCGTATAAGTTACTTGCCAAGACTTGGTGACTGGACTGTAGTTTTCCGACTGTCAGCAGCCCTTGGCACAGCACGGCACGGCGAGCTGAGCGGGCCTTCCGGGCCAGGCTCTTGCGGGTGAGTGCTCAGCTGATGGTAGCGGTTTTGCACGTAGAGCCCAAGCAGACGTTGGAGGTAAGGTGAACACCTTGTCATCCCACCTTGAAAGCACTACTTAGGAGTTGCTCGGAGCCAACTCTGAGCCCTTGGAATGTGAGAACAACGAGGGTAGGAGAAGCTGGGTTCCCTCCCTCACCCGTGAACATGGAGGCTTGTTACCTACCCCTTTCAGAACATGGCATTTCTGAGAAGAAAAATGTACTTGCTTTCTTCTGCCACTGTATTTTTCTTTTTCTTTCTTTTTTTTTTTTTTTTTTTTTGGTGAAACCGGGAATTGAACTCAGGCCCTTGCGCTTGCCAGGCAAGGGCTTCTTCCACTGAGCCATCTCCCCGGCCCTGCCACTGTATTTCTGATGTTTACCCTATTCCATAAGTAGGAATGTAGAATCCCCAGGGAGGACCTCTTTCCTGGCCCTCTTTCTTCCCTCACTGCACTCTGGGGTTCTTCCTAGCGTATCATTTAAGACCTGCATTACACCTCGCCTGCCTTCATAGGGGGAAGAACTTCATCCTGCAGAAGCTGATTTCCACGTCTAGCCTGGGCACACAGCAAGCAGTGAATGAAGGAATGCTAGGCCATGTGCCTAACCAACTAGAGATTTACAGTAGCTACACACGTCCTATAATATGAACTTCACAAAGTCTGCATGCCTGCCTTAATTGTATTACAAAAATATCAGTAGGAAGCGTAGCATTTTCGTAGGGTTATGACAATTCTGAAGGATTTCTCTGCAGTTGCTTTCTTTCGCTTTTGTAGTGCTGAGTACTGAACCCAGGGTCTCACGTCGGCTGGGCAAGTGCTCTCTACCACAAAGCTGCAGGGCTGAGGAGAGAGCTCAGGATGTATAAGCACTTGCCTGTCAAGTGCGAGAACCTCAGTTTGATTCCCAGTACCGCATGTCGTGCCAGCCACTGAAACCGGGTGTGGTGGTATATGCCTGTGATCCCAGCGCTGGGGAGGCTGAGACAGGAGGATCAATATGAGTCTGAGCTGTGTAGTGAGACTCTGTATGAAATAAACCATCTTTTAAAAACTCTTTGGCAATCATTTTGATTATGTATGTATTTGAATACATTGTGATACGGGCTGGAGAGATGGCTCAGTGGTCTAAAGCACCTACTTGGAACAAACTTGGCAAAGCACAGGGACTGCGGTTCAATCCCCAGCACCACATGCCAGCCAGCCCCGCCCCCAGGTGGGCTGAGCTGGCCACACACACACACAATAAATAAATGTAAATAAATAAATAAATAAATACATTGTGATAGATTTAGTTTGAGCAGCTGCAAAGTCCAGCCAAATGGTTCCCACACTCAACAGTACTCTCACCCTAAATTTCATCCTAAATGCGAACAGGTAGGTATATTTATTCCCTTTGGACTCCAAATCTTTTACGTCACTTTTCAATACTGCTTTAGGGAACCTCTGCAGATTTCTAAAACCACTTAAAGGATATCAAAATAAATACAAGAAAGGATGATCAAAAGTGATGAGCAACTCTTTTTAATGTTATGTTTTCAGATCTTAAAAAAGCATTCTCCTTTAAGCATTATTTTTTTTTTTTTTCCTGGAAATTGTACTTTGCCCATAAGGAAAGCACCAACTTGATACAAAGACCTTAAAAAGCTACGTCAAACTTCAAAATATTTCCACTGCTCCAGACGGAAATCCTAAACAAAGAACCACATCACACATACGATTCAACCTAACTTGAGTGGCCCCTACAACCTTCATGGTTGTTTTTTCTTTATTATCCGCTGGGGTAAAACATCACTTAACAAAATTCAGTGGCAACACTGCCACATTCTAACATCCTTACCACTGCACAGAAGGCCTCTATTTATTAAACAATCACTTCCCGCTGCCCCCTTGCCAGCTTTGGCAGCTGTCAGTCAGATCTCTGTCCCTGTGGCTTTGCCTACTCCGGACAGTTCATGTTGTTGTAAGTTATCCAGCATGGTGCAGGGCCTCTTGCGTCTAGCTTCTTTCTGCTTCTCAAGGTCCTCTGGAAGCATGGGGCATCATGTCCGTCTGTCCTTCCTTCCTTCCTTTCTTCCTTCCTTCCTTCCTTCCTTCCTTCCTTCCTTCCTTCTTTCCTTCCTTCCTTCCTTCCTTCCTTCCTTCACCAGCCCACTGTGCCAAGGTAGCCACTTTGTTTCCCTATGCAGATGGTGGGCCTTGGCTATCGTGCATGATGCTGTTAGGAACACGTGGGTCCACGTGCACATTTGAGAGTCTATTTTCCGTTCCTGGGGCTCCCTGCTAAGGACCCCAATGGTATATAATTTTATCTTTGCCTTGCTTTAGATAAACAGGCTCCTCCCCAAGAACGAAAGATGCATACAGCAGCGGTAAAGGGAAGCCAAGCTGGCGTGAGCTGGGCCTAGGGGAAGAGCAGATGGCGCAACTCCAGCTGTCGAGACATCCAACAAAGGGGGTGACTGTGCAAGAAGGAGCCAGGAACCTGGCAGGGTACAAGCCACCGCAGGCACAAGAGCACACGCCAGAGCCCTGCTTGGCAAGTGCCTCCTACTGGACAAGCTCCTTGCATGTTCTGTTCTGACGCTGCCAGGACAGACAAAGCAGTGCTC